TTTATAATTTTTATATCATGATATTTTATATTTTACTAATTTAATATTTTTCTACTCTAACTATAAAGTTATTAATACATATTATTATATATTATTAAAAATTAAACTTAAATATTATATTTATACTTTTACATGCACTTTTAAAAAATAAAAATATATAAAATAATAATTTAATTTAATTTTTATAAATTTATGATATATTATGTTTATATAATATTATTTCATGTATTCTTTAAATATTAATATTATCTTATTAATATTAGTTCAATCACAATTAAATTATTAAACCTTAAATTGGATCTAAAAAACCCAATCAATTTTTTACTTTTTTTTCTTTGATAGAAAAAAAAAATTCATAAAGAAAAATACTTTATTCATAGAAGAAAAAAATAAATTACATACATAAAAAAGCTGTATACATCAATACGTATTAAATGCTTGTAAAGTTATGAAATCTTATTTTTGCTCATTATTTTTTCTTATTTGTATTTATCGCTTATCCATTTTCTTTATAAGAGAAATCATTATCAAAATCTTTCTTAAACTAGTTTAATGATCAGTGGTTTTAAAACATTTAATTTAGTTTTTTTTTCTTAATCTCAACTCTTTTCAATATCAGCTTTTATTTTTATTTTAAATTATATTTTAATATTTTAAAATATCAATAATTAAAATCACAATATAATATATATGCTCAAAAATAATTATTTATTATTAAATTTAATAATAATAATAATATTATTATTATTATTATTTTAATTCTAATGACTTAAATATATTTTTAGACTCAGAAGGCTTAGAATAAATTCATTTTAATTTAAAATTTACATCGATAATAAAATGAAAATCTTATTTTGTGCTTTCTCAATAAGCATAATTGTGTGTGTTGTAGGGAGACGGGTGGGGTATATTTTTCTAAGATTATCACTCGTATTAAGCGTAGTAGTTTATAGATAAAACCTTCGTTTAAGTTTGTCTGAGATCCGAATTTGTTCACTTCCCCTGCAACAAATTATTGAAGTTTTTTTTGTTATACTTTTTGTGTGCTGGGTTTAATACATTGTTACTACTATACCACTTAAATCTATAATATTTTCAAACCATTGTTAAGTGCTGAGTTTGGCTTCATCCGTTTCCCCATGTACGTTCCCATGCCATCCACACAAAGACTATTAAGTATACCTAACTCTAATCCCACATATGGACACAGCAAAATAAATAAATAAATTTGTTCTCCCTTCAACACCTTCCAAATCCAGCACTGCAAGAATTCTAGAGACTAGAGAGTAGAGAGTTAAATTTCCTATTTATGTCTTCTTCCTCAAACCCCTCACCCTTTTAGTACTGTCCCTAGAACAAGTCCTTTTAATATGGACACCAATTCTAGTTTCTCACTTCACACATTCACAAAATAACTTTCATCATCATATCCTTAAGAAACTGCTCTCTTTATGGCACCCTTCATGTCCAATGCCAAGCTTCATCCAAGAGTACTACTCATTCTTGTCCTCAACTTATCCTTCATCTTCTTCTTCTGTTTCCTTCTAAAAGCCTCTCTCCACCCTCCCAACACAAACTCCAATGCCCCCCTCACAATCTTCAACCATGCAAGATTGCTCAAAGATATCAGTGTTGAAGGCTGCACTGATCTCCACAAGTACAAAGATTATGGTTCCAAGTGCTTGTATGTTAAAAACCATCTTGACTGCAGGTCAAAAGGGTACATAAACTATCTCCAAATCTACTATTGCAACCTAGGAAAATTCCCAATTTTGGGGGAAACCCTTCTTGCTTTGTGGCTTGTGGTGTTGTTCTATCTTTTGGGAGACACAGCTTCCAACTACTTTTGCAATTCCTTGGAGGGTTTGTCCAACATCTTGAGGCTCTCCCCCACCATTGCTGGGGTGACCCTTCTTTCTCTTGGAAATGGGGCTCCTGATTTCTTTGCTAGTGTTGTGTCCTTCACAGGATCATCCTCCAATGGGGCTGTTGGACTCAACAGCATTCTTGGAGGGTCTTTCTTTGTGTCATGTGCTGTCTTGGGGATCATAAGCATACTTGTTAGTCCAAACCATGTTGAAGTTGATAAGGCCAATTTCATCAGGGATGTACTTTTCTTCCTTTTCTCTATTCTAATCCTCCTTGTCATCATTTACATTGGGAAAATCACTTTGTTGGGCTCAATCTGCTATGTTTCCATCTACTTTATCTATGTCTGTGCTGTCTCTGCCACACATCTGATCTATGGAGAGGACAGAAATGAAAGGCAATACTCAGTGTCTTCTGATGAATCACTGGTAGAGTCTAGCATACCCTTGTTAGGCTGTGTTGATGAAGAGAAACAAAGTTTGGGAGAGATAGTGGTGGTTGAAGATAAGGAGCAAAAGCAAGAGTGTTTTGGTGATAATAATTCATTTTTTGATTGTATTTACTTTTGGAAGATCCTACAAGTGCTGGAATTACCTCTTGGCATGCCAAGAAGGCTTACCATACCATTGGTGAGTGAGGAGAAATGGTCAAAGCCATATGCAGTGATATCTGTGACATTAGCACCAGTTTTATTGGCAATTCTTTTCAACACTCAAAGTGAAAACATTGGTTCAAGGAGCAGTGTTGTCATATACATAGTAGCTACTTTGATTGGGATAATTTTAGGCAACATGGCATGTGTGACAACTGAGAGGTGTAGCCCACCAAGAAAGTCCTTGTTTCCATGGTTGGCAGGGGGTTTTGCCATGAGTGTAACATGGACTTACATAATTGCCGAGGAGCTAGTTTCTCTGTTGGTTTCAATTGGGAGCATCATTGGGGTGAGCCCTTCAATCCTTGGACTAACTGTCCTAGCTTGGGGCAACTCACTTGGGGACTTGATAGCCAATGGTGCCATGGCCTTGAATGGTGGGCCAGATGGGGCTCAAATGGCCATATCTGGCTGCTTTGCTGGGCCTATGTTCAATACCTTGATGGGTTTGGGCTTGCCTCTTGTGCTCTCAGCATGGTCTGAGCAACCAGACCCTTATGTCATTCCCAAGGATCCTTCACTCTATGAGACCCTTCTGTTCTTGATGGGAGGGGTGCTTTGGGCACTTGTGATCTTGCCAAGGAAGAATATGAGGCTTGATAAATCATTAGGAGCAGGACTCTTGAGTGTGTACCTGTGTTTTTTGTTCATAAGGATAGCTATGGCTGTTGGGGTTGTGAGATTCTAGAGATGCAAGTTTCTAAAGGGAACTTCATCATAAGAGGGTCCATTCTCCGTTGTGGTCCATCTTTTGGAACTAGCTCATGTTTAATCATACATGTCACAATCAACACGCCTACTTTGTACATTTTTCCTCTAGTTTTTTTTTTTTATAATAATAATAATACTTTTATTTAGAGTAATGATATGCAGATAGATATACACCTTCGGATATCAAATACTGATACTCGCTATTTTCTTCATCTCTCTTTGTATTATACTTATATATATTTTTCTCTCCTGTCTTCTATAGGTGTTAACTATTGGTATCCGCCATTTTTTTTCTTCTTTTATTTAAAATTAATAAGAAAGAGACATGTCATACTTAAAAGAAGGGAAAATAGTAAATATTTGTTATTATAGTTTGTGCAGCTGTTTATGTGTAGTTATGAATCGTAAAATGGGTTAAATAAATATACAACAAAGGAGGTTACCCCTTTATAGTAAAGGAGAAAAAAGACACTTTGTTGTACCCCTCGTTGCAATAAAAAAGAATAACAAATATGTGCATGTTTGAAAGTTGGAACAGATTTTTAAACGTGTATTAGGGTTCTTTCTCCAATGTTCAAAAGACAAAATATGTGAAAACTATTACTTGTTGCCTCCGGGTGGACGTGATTTTTCACAGCCCAGTGTGTTTCAAATTTCTTTATGATGATTTATGCAGTCATATGAGTATATTTGTATAGGTAGACGTTTTAAAAGTCAGTTATATTTTATTTAATTTATTACTACTAGTTACTGTAAAAATTCAATTAATCAGACAATAAAATGTTATCTAGAGTTTCTCTTACTAATGATTGGTTGCATGTGGGTTAGGACTAGGATCACTTTCAGCCATCTGATTCATATGCCACAATTTTATTTTATTTTTCATTTTTCTTGTCATACTCATACATGTTTGTTTAAGAGCTACTAATTCATAATTAAGTTATGGATACGAGGATTGGGATCATGGAGTATGCATCGGTATGTCTTGTCACAATTTATGTCGTTTAACATGCTAAGAGGAATCCTAAAGAAAATAACATGCTAAGAGGAAATAAATTCAATTTAAAGCAAAAGTAGGTCTACCAAAATTCAGGTCTAAAATAAAAGGTGTACAAAAATTTATAAGAATTAAATATATACATGGCTAGTACTAATTATCTGGGAACAACATTTTAGAAATTATTTCCCTTTTTAAAGCTTCTTTCAAGAAATTTATATATAAAAAAAACTTTAAAATTAGTTGAATTAAACATGCATCAAGACTTGTCCAAATATTTTATCAGCAATTAATTCAGCATCCGTTACTTTAGTAGTAAATATTATTTGAAAAGCCATTACCAAATTAAATAAAATTTAATTCAAAATCATATATGCTAGTCAATCCCTCAATGATAATAGCTCAATCAACAAAAACTCACACTATGAACTTGAAAGTCCTGAGTTATAAATAAGAGCTATGTTGTTATGATCATTATCTTATCTTATCGCTTGAATTAGTTACTATGAAATGTCTTTTACTTTCTTTGGCTAAGCAAGGCAAGCTCATGTTTCTGTCTCGTTTGGAACTTACTGTCATATCTTGTCATCAATTATTAGTCCAAAGACAAACCTCATATTCAACATTACTGGACAACAACATGTATATATCTGAATTTTGGTAAAAGTGTGTAACTAAGATAATATTTTTGTACCATTATTTAATGCAAATCCCTTGCATAAACCGAATCCTCTGCCCTTTAGGTATTTAATCTCACGCTAGTTTTTCTACTGTCATTTGAGTATAACTTAATTACTAAGAGCACGTTTAATGTATGTTCGAATTAGTGTTTATAAAATTGATTTTTGGATGAAATTAAGTTTATAAAATTAATATAGGTTGAAATTGATTTTAAAGTAAAGTTATTTATGCTTGGATGTTTGTATTTAAAATTTGATTGTGAATCTAACATAAAATTTATTTCTAAGTATTTAAACTAAGAAGAAAAAAAATCTTTTTGGTTTAAAAGGTGTATAGCTCAACTAAAAGAATCAAACCCAAAACTTTTGGGTAAAGGCCTGATAACAACTTCAACACACAAAATAAAAAGGTTAAGATGTCATTTTTTTCTTTTTTATATTAGTAGATTCATAAGCAGTACTATGATGATCAAACTTTTTGTAAGATTGTAGGATGGAATTGTTTAAGAATGAAACATGCATGTTTTCTCTTTAAACTTTGAATGGGAAAAAAAGTATTTATTATATTAGGACACGTCACACGTTCAAGTTGGGGCAGTAGTGACAAAATGTAATAGGTTGCCTGAACCAAGTCCAATAATCAATAATCATGACCCAACACGAGTGTCCTACCAAGTGGGAGGATGAATCATATCGATATTTATAAGTTTGTCCACTGTGTTTTCTTACATGTCCAAATCATGGTGGTCCATTTCCTACTCGTAGATTCTCTCTTTAGGACAATGCTGGATCCTTGATCAAATAAGCAAATAAATGGGTAATACAGAAACATTAGAAGAAGGCTTTACTACTGCGACTTTTCATATGAATTTTATATAAAAAGTTGCAGCAAACATTATTCGCAGATTATAAGTCTAACACTTAATCATATAAATCAAGTTGTAAGATAAGTGTTGTCCCAACTTATATATATTTTAATTATTTTATTTTTAATCAATGTGAATCCACTGGAAAAGTTACCTACGAAATTTTTCTACCATTTAGTAAACATTATTTGCAAATTTATTTTTACAAGAAAATCTGCAAGAAACAAAATAAAATTATTACAACATTTCCTGCAAATTTTTACCATGGAAAAAAATTTATATGATCATTAAAATTGTAGCAAAATTTGTAAAAATTTCTTGTAGATTATTTTTCATAAAAAAATTTGTAATAAATATTTGTAAATTATTTTTCGTAAATAAATTTTTTTTAAAAAAATTTGTGAAATTATTATTGCAAAAAAATTTCTGTGAATATTTTCTTTTAGAAAAATTCGCAGGAAAATGACACTTCTTTTAGTAGTGCATTCTCGTTCCTCTCTAATTATATTGAAAATCAATTTTGAACGCATTACACCTTATAATAAATTATATATAAAAATAAATATTATATTTAAATATATAAATTATATTATATTTAAATTTTTTGTATAAATATATTTGAGTAAATTACCACTTTAATTCTCGACTTTGTAGAACGGTGACATAGTAATTCTTGAATTATGAAAAATGAAATGTTAACTCTCAACTTTAATTTCCATCATAATAATTAGTTCCTAGCGTGACAGAGACGTTAACTCATTCTGTTATGTGATTAGTTGACATATTATGTATCATAAAATTAATGATGTGAATATTTGTCACTTAGATGGACAATGATTGCTACCTCAACAAAAATCTAAATGACAAATTTTTCATCTAATTTTTAAGATCAAATATGAATAAAAAAGAGAAAAAAAATAACAAGGATCTAAATGTCAATAGAAAGGAATTGTAACAATTACTTTATCTTCATCTCTTCGATGTTAAATATCACCCTTAGAAGACAAGAGTTAGGCTCATCAACTTTGTCATCGTCTCTTCTTTTAACTAGCATTTTTACATTTGTTGCAACACCTAGTCTTCAAGAAGATGCTTTGGTATTTATACAAGCATTTGAGACATGTGACCAGTGCAATATCTACATCTCTTGTTTATCATAATGTCTTGTTTCTATACTTTGTCTATTTTGTCCTTGAACAATGAATAATTTGTTACAACACATGATTGCTTGTCTTTAATGCTCATTTTGTAACATCTCAATTGTTTTTAAAAATTAATAGAAGAATTTTAATTAAATAACTAAGTTTTATAATAACCAAGAGGTTTTTGTATAATGTGTATTTAAAATATGTGCTTTATTGTATTGTTTTATTAATTATGTCATGTTTTTATTAAGAAAAGGGATTAAAGTTTTTAAGAGGGAGGTTTTAAAAGGTTGGGTCAATGCTTATCTTATAACAAGTGTACCATAGTCAACTTGTAATAGTGATGAGTAAGGTCATCTCCTTAGGGATTGAGTCAATTGATTGATTTTCAATTAATTTAGAAAAATAAGAAATAGTTATATACGATATATTCATATTCATATAAGTTCATTGTTTGATTCATTAAACTAAAAGATCAACTTGATAAAACTCAAGACAAGTAACAAACAAACAAACAAGTATAGGAGAAATTCATATATGAGACGTTTGGGATTGGATTTGACTCCTTATACCTCTTCGTGACCTTGAAACTAAATATATGTTAATTACTCTTTGATATTTTAATTATGATTAAATTCACTCAATATCAATTTCTTGATAAAAAAGATTATGATGAAATTTTTTCGTTGAATACCAATTCCTTGCATATTCAAGAGAAAAACTTGCATTAAGAAAAACCTTTTTTAAACTATGAATCTAAGCTCTATTATTAGTAACTTGGATCGGTAGATGATTCATTTCAAGTCTCGATTTAGAAAACATTTTCCAATCGAATCCCAAACCAAAAATCAATTCACAAATGATTAAAACGTAAATGTTTTAAAAACAAAAATGAAATCACAACATAATGAAGAGATTATAACATATATAAAGATCAAGAGTCACATAAAGCACAATAGGTTACATCCAATTTCAAAATGAAAAAGTTTAGTCACTTATTTCCATGAGAGTCAACTCACAAAGAGAAAAATAAGAAGAATAAGCTAGGGACAATGTCATTGTTTTGTCCTCAAATGTCGGAATCACCCTTTAGACCTTCAACTTCGATGGTCTTTTGTGGTGGAGTGAGAGAAAGCGAGGTATGTGATCTGAGAGTCTAGAGAGTCACCTTTTGTTCTCTATCTTTGACCTTAAATATGTTCTGATTTTCAAAATAGAGCAACTTGACCGCCCTATACTCGATTAAGCCTTGGTGAATTCGCTTGAGCTAAAAATAATCCTTCAAGGTAAAGAAGTTAAATTCGTTTGAGCATTGAAAATTCGCCTGAGCTTTTACTCAAATGCTTGAGCATTGAAATTTTTGCTTGAGCAAAAATTTGGCAAAAAGTTATTGTGTTTCTGCCTCAAATTCGCTCGAGCTTTTGAACCAACACTAGAGTGAATTTTTGGCAAAGATTTGATTTT